AATCATATGACTACCACCACCACCACGACGACGACTACTACTACTTCTACTGCTACTACTGCTACTGCTACTGCTACTGCTACTGCTACTGCTACTGCTACTGCTACTGCTACTGCTACTGCTACGGCTGCCGCTGCCGCTGCCGCTGCCGCTGCCGCTGCCGCTGCCGCTGCCGCTGCTGCTGCTGCTGCTGCTGCTACTACTACTACTACTACTACGACGACGAGAAAGAAGAAACACAACGACGAGGACTGCGTAATACTGTGCGAATCTACATGCGGTGATCACCCACAGCTAAGCATGTAACGGCCTGCATGCTATGAATGAATTTAACGGTAATGTACAAAACGGGGACTTCAAGCCATCTGCAGCTGGCATGCACAAGTCTAGGGTATTTGGCCTCGCCAGTTGCGGTGGATTCCCCCGCAGGCGTTTGGCTGCGCGGATCTCGGATACCGGAGCATGCGCCCACACCATCCGAACACCGAAGAGATGAGTTCAACCTGTTGTGCGGTTCACTACAGTGCCAAGCAGCGTTAAGCAAGCAGCCTTTCTGGCCGTTTCAGTTTCTGTGAAGTCGGAGTCGAATAGCTGCTGCATTCTACAGACCCATGTGATGAGCCATGTTGCTCGATGGCCGTGCAGAACACGTGCCCTTGCGGTCTTTGGGGTAGAAAGCTCAACAAGGCTAAGGCCGTGGCCCAAAGCATCCATGTTGATAGGAGGTGCACTATCTGCCGGGGTCTGAGACCTGATGGCGACCAGCCCGAAAGATCGAAGCACAAGCCACCGTCTTAAAGTTGGCATCTCAGCGTCAAACGGCATGTCGCCCATGGCCCCTCTGAGGGAACCGAGCTCCTCGATGGGAGTGGTGCCGGGAGAGCTGCTTGTGATCGGCCGCCTGGTGACTTCACAGGCCAGTATATCAGTGTGTATATATATATACACATATTACATGATATTGTACCACTCATATATATATATATATACATATACACATATATATATATATGCATGTATGTATGTGTGTATGTGTACCGAAAAATTACAAAAAGAACCACCCTACCGTACAGCTGCGGAGTTGGTTTGCCGGGGTGAAGACAGAATTCCAAAGCTCTGCCACAGCACAGCATAAGCCCGGGACTCGACCGGCTCTGCCAATGTTGGCTCTTCTTGCTGTACCGTGAACACGCTGCCCGTTGGGTTGTCGATGCAGGACCTGAAGCGCTCGAAGGCTCGTACTGTAGCGAGCAAGCACGGTTCACAGCTCGGACTACAAATGCCACATGGGACATGCTTCTTAGGTAAGGTAGCATGTGCATACCGGCACATTCACCAGGCTGTCTGGCAAGTCCTTGCTTGGTGCACCAGAAGTTTCAACAGCCAAGTGCGCGGCTGAATGCTGCCGATGCACAGCAGGTTCGCATAGTTCAGGATGTGCAAAACGTCCTGCGCATGAAGTGTTGGAGCCTCCTCGTGGCCCATGAATCACTGAACTTCGAGCACGTTACTGGAACCGTGCGAGCTTGGTGCTGGGAACCGTCAACTTCGGGGTCTGGGTCTGCAGAGTGGGGGTTCTTGTCATCAAGGGACTCTTTGGCTCTATGACCTACAGTAGCTGCCTTTTTTCAAGCATCGGACACACTGCGCCAGTAGTCCGCTTGCTCGGACAGACTGTTGATTCGTGCTCGGAGCTTCTTCAACTCCTCACGTATCTCGAGTGTCCTGAAGGGGCAAGACAGTGCGGTGACAGTTTGTGGCATGGGCACAGGGACTTTAGCACTGATTTCTGGTCGATTTCCTGGAGTCGACCGTCATGTTGGGTCGCATCCACTGCCACAACGAAACCATACAGGCTTTGCTTCTAAGTTCTGAAGTGCAAGCCTAGGGCGGGCTTATCTGGGTTTCAACAGGCGGCCGCTGGTGTCAAAACCACTTCCTTGCGTGCAAGAAAAAAGGTTGCAAGTCGGTGCTGAGTGAAATGACAGTACTCAAGCCGAACATCCTTGACCCTCGCCGCAACCCTAGCAGTGATGAACATGACGATGCTGGTGGTGGACATCCGACACAATGATTTTCGCTGTGATTGTGATTACGATGGTTCTAGTTGTCTCTGTTCCACTGTTTCTATCAGTATGAGTGACACTCTGCGTTGATGCGTCCTGAGCCCTGCTCGCAGCTCCTCCCTCTTCTGCCCGCTGCGCCGGTAGGAGTCCGTCAAGTTCAGGTAGTACTCTTCATCCGAGCTGAGCTGCTTCAGCTTTTGCTGGGCTTTTGCCAAATCTTCCTGGGAAGCCCGGAGCTCTCGGAAGGCGGAAGCGTCTCTGTATCCCCGTGGCTGACGGAGCGACTCTGCCCGACGCAGGATGTCCTGAAAAGCATCCCAGCCGGCGGCGGCCCACTTCTTTGCGTCCCTCGTCTTCGGGAAGCCTGGGGCTGGTGGCTCTCGGATATCATCCGCCCTCTTTGTGGAAGTCCCCGGGTTGGAGGTGTAGGTTCTGCGACTTTCCTGAGTCCGCGCCGAGCGTCTCGCCTCTTCCTCACTCCACTTTTTTCGGTACTCCGGGTCAATTAACTTTCCGTAGGCCTCCGACAGCCTTTGCCAACGCTTCAAGGCGCCGGGGCTTTTGTTCACATCGGGGTGCTCTTCTTTGGCACGCCGACGGTAAACTCTCTTGACTTCCTTGACGCTGGTGCCAGAGGGAACGCCCAGGACCTTCCAGTAATCCTCCGGGCTCGCCCTGCAGATGCTCCGAAGCCGGAGGCCTCTAGGCCTGGGATGTATAATATAATATAATATTTTTTACAGTGTGTTATATTATGTTATAATAACTATATGAATTATATTTTATTATATTGACCGGGCCTGAGCGGAGCTGTGAAGAGCTCGGAGACGGAGACCAGAGTCTGGGCCAGACCTGCAAGAAGCAGAACGCGGATGGAGCTTCGAAGCATGGCTCCGGACCTGGTCCTCAAGAGGATGCTGGGAAAATTCGACTCCCCTGTTCTCTGTTTGCCGTTTGGTCGGTGTCTGACGTGCTTCACCGAGTGCCACGAGGGCGTCACGAGGGAAAGATGAGTGTTCGTCCTCGGCTGCCTTGGAGCCTTTTGAAGTAGCTGTGGCCTTGTATAGATTTTACAGAGAATGTTGTCTTGCAGTGGCCTGTGCATCGGTCGACGAAGCTTGGAGCCATCAAAGCTGCGAAAACAACCCTGGAGTATAGAGACACAGCGAAGCAACTCCGGGCATCCTTCACTCTGATGCTGACGCACATTCGGCCCTGAATGTGGACCTGCTCGGCGGTGTCATTCCACATGCAGGAGCTGCAGTCTGATCCTTGTGGGCAACTTCCCGAGGCCCCGACTCGTCGGGATGTCCCGCCGTAGTGGCCTGGGAAGCTGCGAGCGCAGTGCTGTTGTAAGGTCGTAAGGGTCGAAGCAAGGCCCTGGCGGCTTGTGAGGCGTTTGTATTTCTTCTCCACCGAACCTTTAGACTTATAGGGCTTGAAGGGTTTAGGTTTCAGGCAGTTCGGGTTTTGAGCTTATAGTCCCAAGGTTTGGGGGGACCAATTAATACAGACCCGCGTCACCTTCGTCGGCGTCCAAGTCCAGGATGTGTGCCTCCCGTGGCCAGTAAGTTGAACGCGACTGGAGTGAAGCGCTGCGACCAAGACTTGCACCCACTGTGGCAACTCGTAGGCGCCAAATCCTTCCGGAAGCCAATGAGACCACGGCCGACAAACAACAACCTGCGGCGCTCCTGTCGTGTTGTCTTTGAACAGCTCCCAAAGCTTCGTCTGAAAGTTCGCGAAGACCTGTCCGCTAGCTGCAGCACAGCTCATGCCATTGCAAAGGCTCAGAGCCTTCTACCCCCCCTTGAACCCGAGACCCGGTAACGGGGGGTCAAGGCCTGCTGAAGCTGGCCGTCTGCCAAGAACTCGAAAGTGCCTGGGCAATCTGGAAGCACAGGAGCCCGATCCAAACTCACACCCTCACATGCAAGTGCCGGAAATGTCCACTTCCCATGGCATCACAAGACTACCCCAATGTGCAGGTACCACCGTCTGGGTTCATGGGGGATGTTAACTTTACAGCATCGCGATGGTGATCCAGGTTGTCATGGTTGCGATGATGACGACGAAACGGAAGAGTGGCGGCGGATGATGGCGACGATGATGCTTGTGATGATTGTGGTGGTGATCGTGTTCATGTGTTGATGGTGTTGATGGCGATGATGGTGATGATGATGATGATGACAAGAAATGGAAGATTAACATAATGATGCTGTGGTGGTGGTGATGGCAGCTCCGATCATGGCTATCATTGCAGACGTGCCGCCGCAGGACTCCACGCCGATAGGCTGCTCCACCTCAGCATGGCCATGATGCGAAATCCATACGAAACCGGGAGAGCACAGAGAACAGAAAGTCGCAAGGCTTGGGCATCTTGGCAGCGGATTCGCTTCCATATAAGGAAAGAAGAAACGCAAAACATACACAGACATAGATACAGCTGAAGTGCGTATGTACTTTATGTAGACATAGCACATGTGCATATATAGTCTTATATAGTCATATGATATATATATATATACTTTTATTTATTTATTTATATGCATTTATCTATTTACTAATCCATTTGTAAATGCGTGTATGTGTGTCTGGGGAGTGGGCGCATCACACAGACTGACAAATGCTTACAGCGATGAGTCATGTGCGCGTACAGATAAACCGCATAAAGGCCTGTATCTTTGTATCATGCCGATTCGTTCAAAGGCATTGTCTGAAACAGCGTGCCTGCATCTGTCATCAAACCCATTGAAAGCATGTTCTTACATACCAAGATAGATCCATTCACCGGTCCGAGCATGTGGGTCCTAAGGTTGAGACTTGCAAGCATCCAAGTGGCCTTTGGCAAGAACCGTTCACGAAGAAGCGCCTTGAGCATCGACTCCAGGCCCTGTTTGGGCGGTCGTGGTCGGAGTAGGGAGGGATGGGAGGGGAGAAGCAGAAGCAGTAACTGAGAAAAAGTGGCAATCTCAGAGTCTGAAAGCGACTTCACATTACATCGACGCAAGGAAAGCCTTCCCCACGGTTTAAAGCCAGTCTTGCCTGGTTCTCAGGGTAGGCCGCGGGAGCCATTCTCACCAGCGCCTCGAGGAAATGGCGGAACCTGAAGATGAGCCAGCTCCAGGCTGGGCTTTCTGTGGAGGGCAGCGTCAAAGAGCACAGCGTGGGTAAGCCAAGTGCATGAGCGCGGTTGTCGGGGCATGCACCTCGTCAAGGAACTTCAAGCAAGTGCGGCACTGTAGCGCTCGAAGCAGCTTGGTGCCAAACATCCAAGATCTTCTCGCTAGCTTCGGCATCTCCTAATCGCCAAAACCTGTACTCAGCAGGCTTTTGCCGTGTTTCCCTGCAACCAAACTCACAAAGAGCCCTGTAGGATCCCCACTTGCTTTGATCAAAGAAGAAGTCCATGGGGCCACTGGATCCAAACTGCCTGCGGCGTCTGCGCTTCTTGAGATGCGGACAGGAAAGGCTGCGGAGAACCTGGTGCCCAAGGATTGGATGGTGGGACGGCGCCCAGGTTGAGCAGCGCCCTCACCCATGGTACGGTTGGTGCCTGTGATGGGAAGATTCGTTTCAAGCATTTACATCATGACATCACTGGAGCATCTCCACATCACTAGATCCAAAGCCTTAAAACCGAGTCAGCTCCAGGCCGTGCCTCGACTCACTCGACTGACCCGGCTGTTCGCCCTGCTAACTCGGCTTTGTCGTGTCCGGGCGCTGTTTCTATCGTCGCCATCGTCCTCGTTCTCCTCGTCGTGCATGAAGCTATCCTGGGAGTTTGCACAGGTGAAGTCTCCTTGTTCCGGGAAAGATTGAGCTCAACATACAGATGGTGCAGCTCAATCACACCAGTGAAACTTGCCAAGATGATAACTGGAGCTGAAGAGGTTTCAGGGAACTACAAATCATGCTTACCTCCTACTGCATCAACAATCATACGGCACACCCAAAGGTGCCAAATGTTTCCACTCGACATTTGATGGTACAGAAAGCACGAACACTGCCGGCACCTAAATTGAAACAAATCCTGCGGTGGATAAGACGTAACAGTGTGATGGTCCGAAAGAGCGCAGAGCACAGGAGGATTCATGGCACGGTCTTGGTGAGGATCACGGGCATAGATCATCACAGTGTTGAGGCATTGTAAACTGTAAGCAAGGTATCTAGGATTCGTGGTCGGGAGAGTGCAGCTGAGATTATCGCACGGACTAAATCAAGGACCGTGAGGATTGGAAGGGTCCATGACATGTGTAATTACTTCGGATTCGCCGGGATGATACAAGCCATATCATGGCTGTAAGTGGAAAATATTGGTATGATTGCCAACCTACGCTTGAAGGTCTTGTTCGTGGCTTGAACATCTGCACACGTGGGATTCGGAAACGGATTTAGCGAGGTTCTGATTGGGGTTGAGGGCATATAGCAGCATAGGTAGCAAGGATTGTTCAGGTCTTAATGCATGCACGGTATTTCATGATTTGTAGTCAGGAGTAGAGCAGGGAATGCTATTAAGTACAAACTACTGGTGAGATATGGATACTGTTAGGAGCATAGGATCTGAACAACAGCACTTCTAGGGAGCACGGTGGGGGTTGTAATCAGTCTGGATTCCAGAAAGATTTCTGACATTTCTGGAGGACAACGTTGGAAAAAAGCAGAGAAACAATTCTTTTTTCCTGGGGGGGGGGGGGGTGAGTATCTTGTGATTCTTGGTATAACGTGCAACTACTGCAGCGTAAACACCGACTGGCCTTTGTAGCTTGTGCAACGTGGGAGGACTCAAGTTGCAATAAGGAGTAAGGTAGGGATTACAGCAGCACGGCCGCACATGAGCACTCTAACCTGCATCTTACACAATGCCATACCATACCATACTTGTACCGTACTGTGCTAGACTGGAAGTGACTGGGATGTATTCATACGGAGCTTGTCATCCCGTCCAAAGGCTTCGGATCCAAGAGCCTCCTGGGGCCCCGGCCTCTGCCTCGCCCTCCTCTTCGTCGTCGTAGTCGTCGTCTTCATCTGTGGCCTCGGTCGCCTCTCCTCAGGTTTGCTTTGACGACGCCTTATTCACTCCTCTCCTGAGGCTTTAGGGTTTAGGGTGTACAGAGTACAGTGTATACGGTTTAGGGGCTAGGGTTTAGGGTGTTGGGTATAGGGCACACCGTGGGATGTGTGCATGTTGCGATGGTGGCAAGGAGCCCGCCTGAGTTCTCCTTGGATGCCTTGCCTTGCCTCAGAAGCATCAGATGTCAGCGCTGCTCACCGGGAAATGCCTGAGCGCCCTGCTTGGCATCTCGCGAGCTCATCACGGATGGCCTGTCTCACGCAAACGGCGCTTTGTTTGTTCTGCACACCGCTATCCAGTGTCAAAGGATGCACTCACAGCCCGCCTCGGCGTGAGGGGCCGTAGCTCCTGTAGGTCTTCGTGAAACGCCTCTCCGTGCCGCCTCATGCCGGACATGATGTACCTGTTCACCCGACTGAGCGGGCATTCGGGAGTCAGCATTCCGGTGTCTCGGAGGAGCATCCAGAGTTGGAAGGCATACATGACCCAAGGGTCGTCGCCGGGTCTCTGGATGATCCTCCGCACTTTGGCATAGACCTTCCTTTGCTGTCTGTTTTCCCCGTTCTGGTTCACAGATCAAGGCTAGCGAAGTTCTAGGCTTCATGAGCGTCAATTTCTGGAATTAGCAAATGCAGGCCGGTTGCGAGAGCCCCCGCTCGGTAACATATCACCAACATAAACAATCGCTAAGACCCATAAGATGAATACCAAACCAACCCAAACTACTTGGTTTGCCTGTTTTCTTCCACATAATATAACACACATCTTGGCCCTACTGCCACAAAACGATGACCAACAAAGTGAGAGAAAGCTGTTCCCTTTAGGTAAGGAGCTTGAGATCCCCCACTTGCCGCAACAAGATATTGTAGATTTCTCGGAAAACCTCCGTGGGGTCCGTATAGCCGGTGAGCTCGGTTGGATCCGTGATCGTCCGGTCGTTGGGAAGGCAAAAGCCTGCAGAAAGCATGCTGAAGTACTGTGCAAACTGATTCCCCTGGTGCCCCAGTGTTGACGAATCGGGGCTTGTTTGCTAAATTCCTTTTTGGGCCAGTTCTAGTCGTTGCTTTCCTAAGGACTCCGAAAGGAACCGTAATCCGGATCAACCCACGCTGAACATGGACGTGACCCTGAACAGGATTGACATCCTTGGATCGCAATTGCAATCTGTGAACCCGTGAGGTCGTTGATCTCTACGCACCGCCGCACCGGGTTCTCGGCCCCGCCGACGTTGAGGAACTGAGTCGATGCCTCTGCAGGAATCTCACTAGCAGTGCTGTCCTTGGCCATGTTGTCCATGACGAACTCTCCTGTGTACACCCGGCCATCTTCGTAGGTGTACCGGCCTTCTCCGTGCTTAATGTTCTCCGACCATTGGCCCTTGTACTGAGCGCCGCTGGCAAAGTTGAAAGTTCCGTAACCTGATCGAAGTCCTTTTTGCCAGAGGCCTTCGAAGCTGTTGTTGGACTGCTGCGAAGGCATCTCTTTCCTGGGACCTTGGCCTTCCCTCCCATCGTCCCGGACATGCCAGGTATACTTACCTTGGCCCTCGGGCATGTCATTGGCCCATTCTCCGGTGTAGCACTCCAGCATGCCGTTCTCAGACCATGTCATGGTTCCGAAGCCATGAATGCGGCCCTGATCCCAATGCCCTTCGTAGGTGTTCTTGCTAGGCCACACCTGCCGTCCATGGCCATGCTTGCAGCCATCCTGCCACTCTCCTTCGTAGAAGGACTCACCGGCGCGGTCGTAAACAAGGCGGCCCTTGCCGTGTCGCTTGCCGTTTTCCCACTGGCCCTCGTACTTGGTGACCCCATCCGCTGCAAGGAAGACTCCATGCCCATGTCGCCTTCCATTCAGCAGGTTCCCTTGATACGAAGAGCCGTCGGGCCACGTGTACTTACCGTGGCCCTGTATATCGCTTTGTACAAAAGGCCCTTCGTATTGAGTGCCATTCTTCCACTGGTACTTGGCAGACACAGCATCAAAGCATCTTTTGCCGATGCTGTTTGTCTTCACATACCCTGTGTATGTGTGCTCGTTGAGGGTCACAGTGACGATCCGATGTTCTTCACTCGGACTTTCTGTTTCTCGCTTCTTCTCCCTCTTCTTCTTGGGTTTCTTGGGTGTTACCACCGCCTTCTTCTTTGATGTTCCCATGGCACGTGCTGAATCAACTGAGGCACATACCTTGCATGGCTTCTTTTGCTAAGCTGCATGAGGGGCTTGTGTTGAACGGCGAACGAGCACAGGCCCTTAATGCATCTTTCTAGGTTAATAAAATGCATAGATCTAAGCTACCGCGTGGCAACTTTGGAGTTACTTTGAAGTTTGGAGTACGTTCGTGGAATGTGTCCAAGATGTCGCGCCCTGGTCAACATAAGGAAACACTGCGGCAATGGTCCTTCTTGCGAGCAACACTACACTCCGACTGCGACTTGGCTGCTGATCCGGCACAAGGCCTCGCTGCACAAGTCTCAACGACTTCAACTTGACTCCAGGCAGGGCTCTGTTGTGTTCTGCTGATGCCCCAGAGCTTGTGCCACAATCATCGACCGGATTGTGAGCTGATTGCCAGAGACTGTGCTACAAGTCAGAAGCGGCCGTCGGCACGCTGGTGTCTTGGGGACCGGAGCTCAAGACTTGGCATCCCAGCTCCCGTGCACAGCCCCCAAGGCCCCGAAGTGTTGATGTGCGATCTTTGGCACATGGCTTCTGAGAATCACTGAGAATCAGAATGCATAATTGAAGGGCTCTGTGTCTTTCAGTAGCACGTCGAAATTGACCCGGACCTGACACACGAAACCAGTCATCAATCATGAATCATGATCTGTCCATCTTCCAGCTGACCTTGCCTTGCCGCCTGATTGCACTCGGATTACCTGCAAATGCCAGCAAGGCAAAGTCCCATCCACGACTTGCTCGGACTCTGACAGAAGCTGCCTCGCGTCCATCCGTTCCGGCTAGGATGCGGGGGTCCACCAGCTGAGCAGGGTTGCCAAAGAGCGCACCTTACCAATTCTCAGAATACACTGAGATTCAAGATCGTAATTATCAGCAGCTCCGCATTGTCAAGCTCAGCCGATCGCCCAGCAGTCTGGTTAGTGGGCTGGACGACAGGGGGCAGTAAAGGCGTATCCTGAGCTTGTACTCCAGCATACTCCAGCAAAGTCTCCCTCTGCTTGCCTTCTGCCTGAGCCGAAGACGTGCGCGTGTGCCTGCCAGGCTGGCAGGGCACGTGAACAGAACCGTAGCCCTTGACCTTGGCACAAGAGGTGAGAAGCCAGCCGGGACATACGACGCGGGCACTCCCCATCGAAGTGCTTGAATGCAGAGGCCGAGCAATGCACGACTCGCCGATTGCAAAGATCTGTTCCTCAACAACATACGGCAGGCTTCGGTGCGCTTTGTGTGAGCAAAAGTGTGGCGCACCATAGACAGTCACCACGAGCCGTGGCCATCCGAACGGCCTCACGGTCGAGCAACCGCAGTAGCATGAAGTAGCTGGATGGTATGGGTTGTGCTTTGTTCTTTATTCGAGAGGACTGCTCACAGCATCATGCCCTTCCTGCAAACTCGTGCCGGAAATACGATGTTCGGCACTCCTAGCCCCGCATCATGGAGTTTACGTGCCCCAGGGGCTGGTCATCTTCGCGCGCTGAGGCGCGCGCGAAGTGGATTTGTAGACCAAGCCAAGGGGGAAGCTCCAGACCTGGCCAGATCAGCGAGCAGATGTCCTGCTGCTTCTGAGACAGGCCAATACAAGCGCCTACATTTTCACGCAAAAAAAACAACATGCCGCAGGTGTATGACAAATATACATATGGAGAGAGCGAGGGAGACAGGGAGAGAAAGAGAGATTGATGTATCTCTATTCGGATGATGACACAAATTGTGCATGCATGCATTAGATAGATAGATAGATAGATAGATAGATAGAAAGATAGATAGACAGATAGAGAGATAGATAGACAGACAGATAGAGAGATACATAGATAAGAAGATAGGCAGATAGGTAGATAGGTAGCTAGGTCACCAGATATAGGTAGATAGACCGATCGACTGATAGATAGATAGGAAGATAGGAAGATAGGTAGATAGATCGAGAGATAGATAAATCGATAGATCGATGGGTGGATGGGTCAGGTGTACCTGAGCCCCGCACGACCTCGGAGAGTCCCCCTCGCCAAGAGGGTGCCTCGGCTAGCACTTTGAAGGCGTTGGAGTTGGGGCATGCATATATATATATATATACATACATATATATATATATATATACATACATACATATACATGTGTGTAATATACAC